ACAACTTGAAATTCTTATTTGCCATGCAAGCGGCAATGAACATTATTGGTAGCTATCATATCTTCAAAATGATGAGGTCAAATTACAATTCAGATGAAATTATTTTAAGTATGTAATATTAATATTAAAAAAAAGTGTTGCCTCAAAGCCGAGCTTGAGCTCTACCAATCAATTTTTGCTAGCCTGGCAACTACAGACTACTGTTTTAGGTAGAATAAATAATTGACTAATTTCAACATATATCGCAATCCATTACAAAGGTGTATCGCTGGTGATAGCGATTAATGGAGTTAGATACCTACGTAACTTTTAAAATAACATTCGGGATGAATGGTGGTTAGAATGATCAAGAAACAATAGTATATGTATAGTTGTACTGTGTAGTTCTAGAATATCTATGAAATGTCAAATTGAAAGCGATTTTAAAATAAGCCAATTAGACCCCTAAGTACCTACATGGTTTTTATTTATTTCAACTCGATATCTCCACGCGTTCCCCAATTTCAGTAACTAAAATAGGGTTACCATAAATCAGTCCCGAGATCTAGGATTTTTGGACTCTTCTCAGGGTTGCGAACGGATTTTGAAAATCTCAGTATTTTTTAAATAAAATAAAGCACTTTTTGAAGAATTATTAAAAAGTTATACAAACTAAAATCTAACTAACTAACTCTAACTTTGCAATGTGTAACGAGTGAGCGAAATCCCCCTAGAGTTGTAATAAATATAAACTATAAATTTGACTTTTTACAATCTCAGGATTTTACAATGGAAATCAGGCCTTTTGATCTTTTCATCTGGTAACCCTTATCTTGACAAACCAACGGTCAGACAAACTATCGCCAAAGTAATCCTAGAAGGATTATGTTCTTTTAGAGGAGTGGAACTTTAAAAATAAAAAAATAAGATCCTGCGTTACAGTCTCGGGAATCTGTTCTCTGCAACTGTTGTATGCATTTTTCAATTATTCGCTCATTTGATATCAAAAAAGTTAGATTAATACATATATATATATATATATATATATAGAAGAGAGTGACAACTATTCTAAAGCAATGAATGCACACCTTTTTGGTACCATTCAATATTATGAAAGCAATTACTACGTACGATTGTATGCAAATATGAACTTAGACCACCTACGTTAAGTAACTAGACAGATGTCAAGGAATAGTTTGGTGAATCACTATTGTTAAAGTAGTTTTATGTAATAATTACGTTTTTTTATGACAAAGTATTGTTAAAAATACAGTGTCGCGCAGCATTACACTTTTACAAGTGTTTCTATTTTATTTAAGATAAAAAATTATTATGGTATAATTTCTCTTTTTCAGTTGTTTTTCTTGAAGTTGGTTACTAGCCAAAATTGGTGAATAATATTATATTCGTTGCTATGTATTGTAGTCATATTCACGTTATTTTTTTCTATATTTTTGATCTGTTAACATCGGAGCAAATAACAAAATAGGTGTACATATAAACATGAGCTATTATGCTACCTATTATAAAAATTGTTTGTACTCGGAGGCTGACTGCTGATCTTTTTCAAAAACAAGATAATTAAAAATAATATTCATTAATATTTTCTCGCAATAAGGGTTCCGTACCATTATCGTAAATAATCATCTTTATTGTATGTATATTAGGTATTAAAAATCTATAAAAAAGGTAAAAAAGTAGTTTGTTGTATATTTTTTAGTATACATCTACTTCAGTATATGTGAAAATTTCAAATGTCTAGCTATTACGGTTCATTAGATATAGCCTGGTGACAGACAGTCGGACAGTGCGGTACTCTAATTGTGCACTGATAAAAAAAATCGTTTACGTAGTATTCTTAGAAAAATATAAGGTATCTCATTAAAAAGTTGGCAAAAAAAGAACCATTTAACCGCTTATAGCAAAAGCCACATGCAGAATTCATTCAAGTTATTTATTTATTCTGTGACCCCAATACGCTTGCGCAATAACAGAGCCCGTCAAATTTTATCTCACACCTCAATCGAATATCGACTTTAATCTTAATCTGACGAGGTCCAATTTTAAATAATTAGAGATCAAAAAGCATATTTCTTTACGTTCAGTTACCATTACCCTTTTGTCTATAGTATATAGGTAATAAAGAGGCGAATTAAATACGCAATGGTTTACGTGTTATCGCAATGTGCAGTACAATGGTAAAGTTATTTAGTTTTAATCATAGACCAGCGAAGGTCAAATTGTATTGAATGGATGCGATAGTTATAGACAATAGAATTGCTATGTTAATTTTATATTGACTGGTTAGTACAAAAATCGATATGGGGAAAGAACTGTTAAAATAATAGAGATTTTCTAATAAAAATATCGGTATAAGCTTTGATTGTTTTTGGCCTAAGTTTTTAACTATCAAAAAATGGGGCCGGTGTCATAATCTAATGATAACTTTATATATTTTAATATTTTTATAGTATTTTTTAAGTTTTAGTTCGTAAGAGTAGTGTTATTGTGTCATATAAGGTGAATAATACATGTAATTTAATGTAATAATACGGTACGTGTATTGTAAATTGCAAAAGTGTTCTGTGAATCAAACGGGAATGTGAACGGGTTACTTCTTTCCTGTGCAATTCTCTGCATTCTTTGACATTTTCAATTGGCTCAAACCCCAAAGAAACATTAAAATTGGGCTGTTTTAGTAAAAATATAAAAAAAGTATTTAAGATTAGGCTGTATTGACTAGATCAGTTGTAATGATGAACGGAACTATTTATTCTGTTATTAATTAGTACCTAATTAAAGGGAGGTTCTATTTTGGTCTATGAATCCAATGAATACAAAGACTGTGTGTACATGAATAAACCTCAATAGCTTAGCGGACCCCTCGCTAACTAATAATAGTTGTTAGAAAGTGTTCTTATTTCCCACCAATTTCAAATCACGACACTGCAGAACAATAGTATGTTTACAAAACTGCCTATTAAAGACAAACAGTCTACTATTTTCTACTGAAATATTACGGCATTACGCTTCCGATTCCTTTGTTTTAATGATCGGTCACTCTCTCTGGTCTGTTCTCAAGGGTTTGAAAATTTTAATTCGTAATGGTGTGAGTAGGTTCACATATTCTCATCAAACAATTCTAAAATGATTCTTTCTTCTTCTTTTTTTTTTAAATAAAAACTTTTGGACATAGTCAATGGGTATTATTAAACGTATACGTTAAAGATGCCACCTTTGTTCGAACGCTGGTTTCAAGGTGTAGCCATCTCTGATGTCCCGGGTTCCATTGTCGATCGGTTCAATGTAGAAAATGGACTTTTCGATGAATTTCACAACCAACCCGTATAAATATGGCCAGAGTCTACTCAACCCCGAGAAAGTGGTATTAAGGGCATAAGTACGTATATAGATTGAGTTGCATTGCTCTCTGACTATACCTATATATGGTTTGAGTAACTCTCACTACATCAACAGGAAAAGAGCTTTTTGCATTTTGACAAGATGATATCGTGTCAGGTATCCATTCAAAATGGTTAGTTATGGGATGTGCGACCGAAAAATGATATTTGAACAATTGAAACATATTATATTAGTTGTGAATTGGTAGCGTTATCATATCATAAAAATGATAATATAACTTATTGATCACACATTCTCTAACCTAATAATCTCTACAATATTATACAAAAAATGTACCGACGAAATCAAAGTTACTGACTGAAAAAAGGGTCTCAGATTTTCCCTTTGGGTACGGAAATGTTAACCTATCGCAGTTAGTTTGTCCCAATATAATATTTTTCAAAACAAGAAGACTTTTTTTTTTTAATAGCCCATAACAAATATTTTATCAATATGATGCCAACTTTTTATTTTTATTTTAGCTGAGCAAAGAGTTTGTTTACATAATGCCATCCCTATGAAAATGGAATGTCGTAGTTTTCATCATTAATTCGCTAGTTACAAACTGGTTGGCACGAGGCTTGCCTATATGGTGCTATTGGGAAATATTAGAATAACTGACCAAGTTACCTTACGATTTCATAATTGCACATCGAGTTGCGAAATAATTAAACTGTGTTTTTAATAAGTATCCATATTGAAAGAAGTTCCGGTATCGTTTAATTGCAAAAAAAAATCAGATATACGATATGATCAAAAGACAGCGTAGTAAATGCCACTCCCACATCATAACAAAACCATTTAGCGTATTTAACCATATTTGACTAGTTTAGGTTAGTGTATGAAAAACAACGTACGAGCCAAGCGAGCAAAGCGAGCGTACTGTGGCCAGCGAACTGCCAGAAGCGAATCGCTATTGTTTAATGAAACAGCTAGATAACCAATTAATGCGCAGAAAGCATGGTGGCTTTTCTTCATTGCCACAACGCATTGAAGTCGAATAGCATGCATCCACGACACGGATTTGTCGTGAACTATTTTTCGTTCAATGAGCGATTTCGATCTTTGAGCGTGTGCTTAAACGTGCTTATAAAGCCCTTTCGTTTGATACCCTATACGGAATGATTGAATAATATACATTTTTTTAGTTTCTTACTTTATGCTTTCTAGAGGGTGCTGTTGCAAATTTAATGTAACGTTACATAGTCTATAGCATATTGATAACTAAAACGCTTCTAAAAATACCTCATTTGTTCAGTTACGATGAGTAGTTTCGAAGTTATAAGTGAACAGATGAACATTCGCACATAATACCGGCCAAAATCATAACCCTTCTTTGCGCTTTGGCTTAGACGGGTAAAAAACCACAGAAAATGATGACAGTCTTCATAATCTTAAAAGCAAAAAATGAAGAACCAATTTTAAGAATAGTTTTTAAGGTTTTTAATGCACTTTCTTTGTTAAAGGTTTCGTACTGTTATAATTTTTAATAAATAATTATTGATAGAAAAACTAAAATATAAAAAAAAAGAATTTTAGTGTCAGACTGTCATATATTTTTTGATTAATATACACTAATTCTATCACAATATCTAAAATATTGATTAAAAAAAACTTACTCGAACAAAAGGATTCTTCTTTGGCAAATCATAGTCAACTTCGTCTCTGGACTCCTCATCGTCAGCGGAGTTGACCCTTACGCAGGTCTTATGTATGGTTTTGGGTTCATCCATACTCTGAACTCATCATACACGAGTCAGCACAATACAACACGATACTTCACTAAAAACAACTGGCAATTTTGCTTCACAATTTTTAATACACAAAATATTTTTTAATTCAGAAACACTCGTTGTTCACTTCCAGCACTGAATTAAAACAGATTCGAAATTCAAATTATGGGCGAAGGCACACTAGCACTGTGTCACAGAATTTTATTTTTTAATTAACACTTTTTTCGTTGTCTCGTTGCACTCGATCTGAAAAGATAGAAGTCTATTAACGTTTTTAATAACCAAAGAGTTTTTATTGCGTTTATGACTAATCTATGTCCCAACGTTGATGTCACTATATCGGCTATGTTTGCACTATGATATAGTATCACGATAGTATGAGAGAACATTATATGTACCACTAAGATAATAAATAAATAAATTCTCATAGAAACCAAGTTTCGTTTTGAAGAAAAGGAGGTCATAGCAAAAATGTATGATCACAGTATTTGCAGAATCTCGTTTAGAGAAATTTACCTATAATAATTAGGTAAGTAAAACAATGTAACTTTTAGACCAATCAAATTGAAATATATGTTTATGTGGTTTGACAAGCCTTAAGTTGAAAATATTTGCGATAAATCGAAAATTACAATTATTTCATGGAGTGCAAAATAGTGCGGGATCCAAATATCGATAGAGCAATCGGTAAATCGGGATTGGAAGTCCTATATAACTGAATGAGTTGTAAGTAAATAAGACCTTTTCACTGTAGCACAATTATGTTGGGTAATTTATCAGTCAATATGAGTAGACAGATATTTAATTATACGATTGACCGAATCTTATCATATCTAATCGACTACTGAGTGTCAAATAATATATAAATCTGAATAAAATATAATGAAGTTGTTTACAAATCAAAAGTTTTGTTGATCACATTTAACAATAATACATACAAGTAAATATATTATCTACAGATGTTGTTGGCTAATAAAATCTTTTTTAAGGAATGACTACTTTTTCCGTACTCAAAGATTAAAACGGAAGCTTATTACTAAGACTCCGGTGTCCGTTCCTATGTCTGTCTGTTTGCCACAAGGCTGTATCTTATGAAGCGAAACTTAATTTTGTAGGCCTTTGATTTATTTTAGCGCCGCCATTCTGTACTCTCTCTTGAGCTTCTCAGGTCATCGCGTTCACAGTTTTGGAAACTCTTTTGTAAGTTTCTGTTTTTTTAGTTCAATATTAATATGGTGCGCGATGTCCACTAGCTCTTGGCTGTTTTTTTTTATTTCATACCTTTGAATCCTCCATTTATTATTGCTATACTTTTTTTTCTATGACATTGAGTAATGTAGGCAACAAATCACATTGAATCTATGATCCAAATATTTAATATTTCGAAATAGCTTATAATTGAATACCAATATTATCATTTCATTAGCCCTTATCTTTTCTGACTTGTTTATTAGATTAACAATTTAAAACATTTTTTTTGTCAATTGTATAATATAAAGATTGTAATATAAATGTGATTTACCATTAATTCTATTATTAAAATAGGATTATAAATATATGAACGATGTTTATCATACATTATAGATTTGGAGGACAATGTACATACACTGGCTTTTTGGTCATTAATCTTTTTATGTAAATATTTTTATATTTAATTAGCGCTATTCAATCTAATGATTCTTTTTAAGTACAAAATTTATGGGAAAAATTTTAGGCGGTTTTCTTTCATTTCAAGTACTACTTAAATAGTCGCATATAGTCTTGATCCTTACATCAAATATGATCGGTTGTCATATTTTTTGGTTTATAAATTTTAACAAAATATCTTAAAAAAGTTATAGTATGTATAACTATAATATATATAACTATCATGTTTTAGACACTTTACTGTACCGTCTGAAAACTACAACATGTATAGAGGCGAATTGTGAATCTCCTTATTTATGTTTTGGAGTCGGTTAAATATAACGACTAGAAACCTGTCAACCTCCAAAAGGTAGATATTTATTGCATATAATAAGACTCATAAACTGCTCAAAAATCTTGATATCGTCGCCGTATAACAGTTAAGGAATGTTTTCAATGATAATGTGCTAGGAAGAAGGAATATTACACAGGGACGCGACGTAGCATTTTAATGTGCATATTATGCCTTCTTTGTAAATAAGTAGATAATTAATATGATAAAAGTTAATGGTTTTAAGAGAACGCAGGGTCGGTGCATCTGATGGACGATGCGTCGACTTCAGGTAAAAAAAATGGACAGTGAAAAAATGCAAGCAAGTTGAGGTCCTATTGAGATGCTTATTACGTAAAGATTAGCTGAAGGGGTCTGCTGACAAATTGTAAGATACTAATGTTCCGACAGCGGTTTCGACCGGTCCCTAGGGAACGGTTTTGTGAGAAAAAAGTACCATGTGGTATGTTATTTCCAAATACTAAAAAGAACCGTTATTAAAAATTCGGGGCTCCTAGTACAGATTAGTAATGAATTTCATTACAAACTAGCTAACCTGACGAAATTTGTACTGCCAAATTTTATATGACACAATACTTTGTATTTTTTATAATTATTGGAAAACCTCTTAAAATTAAAAACGAATAAAAAAAAACTATTTTCATGTTTATTTTTTTATTAACTTCCGCCCCTAAAGTGACTTCCTTTGTTAAGTACATAGGTTCAGACTACTGAAACAGTTTTGAGTAAGTAAATCATCTGTGACAAACAGACTGACAAATAGACACAGGAGTAGTGTTACGATTTTCATTTGATGTATATTCTCTAAGGCATATTCTCTATAAATATTCTATTCTAAACTGCGTAATCGTAAAATATTTCATTTCTAATCTAACATTATAATTTCAGTATGATTCAATTATCACTTTTAAATTGACCAAGTAGTTTAATTCAAAAATCTATAATTTGTGTAGGCACTTTCATCACTATAATGTCAAGAAAGTGTACACATGTTTCACTAACACGTACAGCATACAACGTAATAACTATCGACGTTTAGTCACAGTCGCCGACTGTACTAATAATCGGAGAAAGATGTTATGTCGCAGCGAGTTTCAAGACTCAGATATTTTGCGTGTTTACAATTAATCGTCAAAATTTATGACATGCAACTAGTTACATAATATATAATTTGTATAGAATATTGTATAAAAAATCTCATAGTTATCATTAAAGAAAAAAACAAAAAAGAAAAAGCTGATCATAATCCTATGAATTTAAATTATATTAGTTTTATTTTAAATATGAAAGTTATTGTTGTGGTGATAAAGAATCTTATGAGTTTTGTTGCGATAATTATAAAAGTCGCAGATGTTTTTTCAAAACTAAAGTAATGTTAAGTATGGTTAATTTAAGTATCCCATATAAAGCTCTCTACATTTTAAAAAATCAATAAAATTTGCATAGAATATGTCTGCAGCCATTTCGCAAATAGTATCATTCCACATATCACCCGTTACGCACAACCATGCTCTGATTCCCGCGCATTTCTATGCGAGGCTGTCGGGCGTTGGTTCAAGGCTGCTTACCGTTCTGCTAATTCAATTACATTGTCATTGACGAATTATATTAATACTTAATGTTATTATATGAATCAAAACTGATCACGTAGTTTTTTATTTGATATGGACATGGACATATCGAATTAAAGTCACCCAGAGGGAAATGTGAGGGAACAAAGACAAAGATACTATACTTGGTGTCTATCTGCGTGATTGAATTAGAAATGAGATACTAGGAATTTTTTTTAAATAATAATAGATTGAGAAGTTTTTAAAATTCTGTTTGTTTTTTGTTTATTGACAAAAAATATTATTTACTTCATATTGTGCCTGAATGCTCATGGAATCGATTTTTTTATGGCAACGGCTTTGGATACTGGTCTTTTTGAGGCGTATAGTTTAAGCCAATGACATAAGAAACTCCTTAGTTACTGCTGGACTGAAAGTTGTGTACTTTTACAGTGCTACTTATAAAGAAGGTTTAGCGACAGAGTAAATTTAAGCTAAAATTGCAATTTTAGTATTATTCCATATTCATATTACACAGAGAATAAGCAAATCTACTACCTTCTGGAAGCAAATATTACTCCTGTAAAACCTCGTACTAGGTTAACCTATGTAAAGTCTCTGTTTAATAATATGAATTTTGACTGATACGATGAGCAGTTTCAGCGTAAATTCAAGTAATTGGAGAAAACATAATCTGTTTGCCACGTGTCATACCGTCCTTCACATTCGTAATCGCCGGTCCTGAGTATATGTACGAATTAAATGCATTCATTTGTTTCGATTTCATAGTAAATAGTGTAAGGGCTCGTGACAACAGTTTTGTAGTAACGACTGATATTACTTTATGTTTCATTGAACGTATAATTTAATTATGAAGGTTATTCAGTTTTCAAGTAAACATCTGTAAAAAACAGTGTACCCTTAATCCTCAAGGTTGAAGTGACATCATTGACGATAAACACACCATTAGTTTGAAGGCAAAGACAAATGGAGAGAAGTTAACCCAAAATCGACTCTAATTATTAAGTAGCAACGACTTAAATAAAATTGCGCTTCTAAAAGGAAAAATTACATTTTCTCGTGTTTTTCCTTTTAGTTGAAAATTAAAGTGATAATTGAAATGATTTGTTTAATGATTAGAAGTGATAAAATAATAATCATGAAGAATTTTGTTATTACTTCTTTGGGTCGCTTGTCTTTTTAACTAACATAAAGTATTTCTATCAATATTCATTTTTCTAAAAACACCATTAGCACACGGGCTGAAAAATTGGATACTAGTACACGATACCCGTTTTTGTTCTGTACTCAAAAGGTAAAACAGGAACCAAGGGTATTACTAAGATTTCGCTGTCTTCTGTCCATCACCAGGCTTTATCTCATAAACCGTGAAAGGTAGACAGTTGAGATTTTCACAGATGGTGTATTTCTGTTGTACTATTATAAAAATACCTATATTAAAAAAAAAACAGAAAAAATAAACATTTATCATACGACAAACGTGATTTTTTGCTCCGTCTTCGGTACGGAACCCTACGAGTGCGAGTCCGACTCACACTTGGCCGGTTTTTACTAAAATATCAAATTGACTTTTAAAAATAAGTAATTATTATTATTATTGCAACTTGCTTGCTCTTGATTGAGTAGCTCGGTGGCGTAGTGGATAGGCGCCGCGGCCTGCGATTGTTGTCGTTAAGCAAATTTTGCAAGGGTCGGTC